CAAACGTAATGTTCTCCACACCGGTGTCCACGCAGAAGATCCGCCGTGAAGCTGGTCAGCTGGCAAAGTCGAAAAGCAGCCGCTTTGCACTGCCTTTGTCCATCTAGCCGCTGAGGAAAGCCGAAGCTTCTAATTTTATTCAACCTGCCATTGTATGAAGGGCCAAAAACAGTTTGGGTGAATCAGTGAGCAACATCACCCACTTGCATCCACGTTCTCACTCCCCACATCCATTTCGCGTCAATCGGGTGCCCACAAATTTAATTTTTCATATAATAATGGAATGAAAGCTAAGAAAAAAATAAAGGAATGATCTCACTCGATATGTTGTAAAGAAATCCATGACATCACGTTGATCACGAAGATTTCTAAGAGCTTCCATAGATATGCTGCCACTATATCTTCAAAAGGTGTTAAAAACAGCACTCTTGCCTTTCGTTCCTCACAGCAACGTAAATCCCCATCAACCACGAAACAAACTCTAACTGCTCCAACTAGAGGGATCTCAGCAGAGAAAACAAGGCCTGCGTCCACTTTCCATCACCAATCACTCGTGCCACAACGGCTTCAGTTCGCCAGTACACAGTCTACCAACATTTTGTTATACGGTAACCATCCCACATTGCGCCCCAGGAGTCCCAGGATGCAATCGGGTGAATTTTTATCCGAGCAACTATATGATTAATTGAAAAATCATCCATTTCGATTTTCAAAACAGAGATTCCTAAGCTCCCTACCACCGCTCCCATTGATCTTCTTGATGATGATGATGATGATGTCAGAGCAATGGTGCATTCACGGCTGAAAAGGAAAACCGAGTAAAACTCTTTTTTTGTAAGGAGAGAGGGACATGTGTGGCATATATTAGCGCTAGTGTAAGCAGGTCTTAACTTGACGCCTAACGAGTCAGCAAGCCGTGTGTGCAGCCCTCCGTTGTAAGCGCAACAGTTCAATGCTGGTAAACAGAGGTCTCTATGGCAACGCTTCATAAACACACGGGCAACTCTCCACTCACTTTCGGACCAGCTCTTCACAAGGTAAGTCGCACACCCTACTTATGCTTGGAGCCGCCCACCTGGTGTCATGATGGCGTTGGATCGTTCTGAGTCTGAAACGCGCAAAAATTGGTCAACTTTAAATTGGTGTATTGCTGTTAAAAATGCATAAAAAACCTGAAATGCTGCATTTGGAAGTTGAGTGTATGGTTGCTATGATGAGTTTTCATCGTTTGCTCTCCAGTTTTCAAAATGACGTCCAAGCGGTTCAACTTGTCGAATGCTGCGGATAGGTCTGAATAAATAACGTCCGTTTGAACCCGATCCGACATGCTTTCGGTTATATACGATGTGAGACACAGCAGATTGGTGGTTGTAGAGCGGCCGACAGTAAACCCATGTTGATCAGCATTCAAATACTGCTTGCAATGGGACAGCAACGGTTCCATAATCACTAGCTCGAATAGCTTCGAAAAGGCACTTAACGATGTAATTCCTCGATAGTTATCCACAGCTCGTTTCCTTCCTTTTTTGTGGACGAGAAACATGTGCGCAAATTTCCAGCAAGATGGAAATATGCCACCTGAGAGAGACATTCGGAACAGGCGAAGAAGCGGAATTAACAAGCTAGCAATATGTCTCTTCAAAAATACAGATGGAACTCCATCAGGTCCAGGATTGAAGGATGACTTGAGCAGAGTCGCGGCCTTAGACATCATTTCTGCATTAACATCAATTGCACCCAGCGTTTGATCGTTTACTGGAACGTTCCTGGCAGCCAGGTTAATATGGTCGTCAGTTAGTATCTCATTAGTGAATACACTGGCAAACTTTTCGGGAAAAAAGGTGGCATATATCCTGAACAGTGCCAGCAACTTCTCCGTTGAATTCCATAGACGATGGGAGGCCAGATTCCCTGCGTTGCTCGTTCACGTAGTTCCAAAAGGATTTCGGGTGTAGCTTAAGCTTGCGCTGGATGCCTCGTTGGAAACTTGAAAAGCATTCACGACTGACACGCTGGTACATGTGATTCAGCCTCACATAATGTAGTTTCAGAGGAAGCGTGCGAAACTTCGTAAATCTTCTCAATACTGCTTTCTTGATTGACTTAAACCTACGTAGCTCTCTCGTCTGCCAGGGACGGTGAGACATTTTGTGGTGAGTTCTTTTCGGGACGTGTCTGTCAATGACATATGCCAAGACATGTGAAAAGGTTTGCGCTGCAGCCTCAACGTCATCTGGATCAAGGATGTTCTCCCATACTATGCTAGACAATACATCTATGATGCTACGGTGGTCAGCTTTACGGAAGTCATAAGAAACCGTAGCAGGATAGTCGTCGAAATCACGCACGAGTTTGTCCTCAACAGTGACAATTAGAGGAGGGTGATGTGGAACTAGCTTAGTTAGTGCACAAGGAGCCGAGGAAATTGATGGCGCCCTGTCCTGTGTGCTCACGAAGCAGAGGTCCAAACTACGACCATTTTCGTTAACTACATGGTTAATTTGAGAAAGCGTCGCTGCGCTGTAGTTGTAGAGAAGGCTAATAGCTCCTGCGTGAAATGTAGAGCTATCAGGATCTGGGTACAGGAATCCGCTATGAGATGGACTCCACGAAACGCCTGGCAGATTGAAGTCACCAAAAATGAATATCTCATCAACTGGAGTGGCACTTTCGACAACTGTGAAAACTGACCGACAGTGAGTATCGATGAGTTCATTGTCGCGGACTCGATCAGGTGGAATGTACAGAGCTCATAGAAATAGTGTGCGATCACCCAGATTGATGGCTGTCCAAATCTGCTCCACATGGTTCCATGAATCGTTCTCGATGGCCTTTGCCTCCAACCCGCTACGGACAGCTACAAGGACACCTCCACCGGTAGATTTACAGCTGTTGACTGGATTCCGATCGCAACGAAAGACCTCGTAGTCAAGACCGAAGACTTGACTGGAAAGCGTTCGATAATCGAGCCACGTCTCGCACAGGACAATAATATCGTAGCAACGATCCGATACAGCTAGGCGGTACTCTTCAACATCAGAATTCATTCCACCGACGTCCTGCTTGCGGCAAGAAATCGAACGACTGCTCTCCCTGGAAATCACAGATACATCAGGCAATAACTGACTATCATCATGTCTTATTGGATACTCGCCATAGTTAGTGGGTTGGAGACCCCTTCTCCACATCCGACAGCAGGTCCGGAACGACTATGATGAACGAAGGCTGCTGATGGCAGGACTGAGATGGAGGGCGCGTTCCGAGGCATCATCACAATGACTAACATAGTCAGAATTGCTGAAAATTTGATCGGCATCAGGCAGTGAATAGTCAATATATTGATTGTACTTGCTTGTAGAGGCAAGGTGGAAGACTCCTGATTCATATCCAGCCACAGGCCCAGGACGACTATGCTGAACGCTGGCGGGAATCGGCACGACTGGGCTTGAGTAACCAGGAGCTTCCAAAGAGCGGTCTATTGTGCGTCCCGGAGATGAATTAGGATTGTTCGAACAGTAAAGCGGATGTTGTGAATGAGCAGTATCTCAACTGGAAACAGCCGGCAGGTGCTTGAAGCGTTGCACTGGAACACGGAAACTGATCAGGCAAATGACTGTAACTAATGTATGCATACTTGCCTGAAGACGATGCTAGGGAGACCCCACCACCGAACTCGACCGCAGGGCCAGAACGACTCTGATGGCAGGAAACAGAACGACTTTGATGGCGGGAAACAGCTAGCGCGACTGGATCGAGTGGTTCGAGGTCTCCCATAATGCGACAGGCAGTGCGTTCTGGTCTACAGCTCTCCAATTCGCAACGCAAAATCCAATTCTGAATCAGCAGACTGGGTCTAGTCCGGAAATGGGAGTTGAGAACTCGGAAGGTCCCGTTATAGGAGAGATCGTGATGGTAGGCGTGTTCAAACGGGGCAAATCAAAGTAAATGTAGATGTGTCCACTACTAAGCAGGAAAATGTCAGGAAATTTATTGAAGATCTCGACAAATCATTTAAAAATCAAGAAAAATGTATAAAGACCTTCACTGTTCATCAAAATAGTTTTACATAGTTACGATAAACTATTTGAAGAGAGAGAAAATAATAGTACTTTAGAAAATTCATTGATTTTATTGTCAACCACAAAACTTATTGTAAATTAACAGTTTGCATTATACAACGTATTGTATTTTTTTATTCGGGTAAAGTTCAAATATACAGTTTTAACTGATGGTACTTCATAAACATCAAACTGTCCAACAGACGGCGCCTGCACGGTAATGTGGGCCGTCAGAATGTTTCATCGGTTGCGAAGTGAAGTGCTTCTCAAACTGAAGCGGTACATTTCTCAATTTTTCAACGGTAACGTAAACTTAATATTATCACCCATATGCCCGTCCACGCCCGAAACCCATCCACCACATACAATCAAATAAAAATGTTCCTGTATGGCAAACACGCCCAGCCATAAGCGAGAATATGGGTGTATATCTTCACTGTAACAACTACGGGTAATCATCGAAAGTACTTGCATTTTACTCAGCCACTTTTGAGCAAACTGCAATCACTCTCTCATACTCGAAATGTGCCACAACCAAATTGGCACAACGACGCCCTATACGCTATCTGACCAAAGCGCAGGGCCCTAGTATACTAGAATAGAACTGTACTAAAAAGTAGCCAGCATAATATAAACAGGGCGTCACCACATGACAGCATGAGATTTCAGGAACAACAGAAATTTGCTTTAGTTGGTTGAGTTGGCTGGTAAACAACCCATAAGCTCTCCCACCTTGGGTAAGGTGCTTAAGAATGGCCTACGGGAGGGACAGCAAAATGAAAACAAAATGTGTAAATGATGATTTCAGTTTGATGTCGATACCAGAATTGTATTTCGATGTTCAGTCATTTTGATGCTGGACTTTGCTTGGGATGCCTTTACGGTCGACTAGGTAGATAAACAAACCGGAAAGGATTTTCTCATTATAGATAAAAAGTAAAGTTAACAATACGCATAATCTTCCGTTCATGTATTCATCCGACTGACTTATCGTTAAATGTAGATATCATAGTTAACCGATGAAAGCTAGAGCAATAATTTATTTGAATCTAAAACAGGCTGTAGGAAATTACTGAAAAAAAGATCCTCTATGCAAGACGTATTACCTATCAACAAAAAAAAACCTTAGATTATCATTATTCGAGCTCGAGCATCGAGTAAGCTTGGACGAATCTGAACTCGAGCAAATAAGAATCAAAGGCATTAACATATCGCTACCAATCCTTAGATTTATTTTTACACTCCGCTGCCACCATGCATGAAAAACTAATGCATGGGCAAAGTTAGAATCTCATACAAGTTTTCAATAAACTGAACTTTGATTTTGTGTGTGTCTTCTATACATAAAAAAAAAAGTTAAATCATAGACGATATGAATGCTGCTAACGCACTGAAAGACCTCAAATAGCTTACCTTGGTCTCCAAGAATCGATCAAACGAAAATACAATTATCTCCGAATGTGTAACCACTGAGCAACGAATTTATGTGACTAATAATGATTGTAGTTTTGTTGTCCCTCCTAATCGGAATTGGATTGCGCCCGTCTCAGTTCGGCTATTCTGCGCGATCGTCTCAATGGAGGACTGTCGTCTTCACTATCATCATCGCTATCTATCAGCCGGCGGGTTCTCGAAGCATAGGGGCAAGTCTTCTTTTTCGCATTTTCGGCACAAAGATACGTCTGCAGATTTACATGGAAGTCCCACTGAAACACGAACATCATAATACATGCATTGTTAATGTGTTTGAGAGTATAGAAACGGGCAGTGCCTACCGAACATGTTAGCACTTCCGGTCTGTGCGGGTGCCAAGCAACGTCACGAACCGTGTCTCTGTGACTTTCGATTTTTTCTACCATGTTACCAGTAAGAGCGTCATAGACTGTTAAGGAAATGAACTCAGTGAGTATTGCTAGGGATGAATGTATGTAACAGAGCTTACTTATTAGCCGCCCAGTACCACAACCGGTATAAATGTATCGCTGTCCAGTGGTAACAGCCGGCGAGAATTTCGCCCTAAGCAAGCTCTTCTGTACGCGATGACCTCGGTATGTTATTACGCTCGTGTCTCCCTCCAGCGTCTTGGTCGGGTTGTAGACTGTCGGAGAAGGTGAATTGGCAATGATGGTCACATTCAGTTGGTATTATAACCAACAAACAAATCTAACTTACATCTCTTGGGGACTTCATCCCACCGGTAATCCCAGTTTCCATAGCAAAGCTGATCTTTCACTTTCGTTTCGGCATCTGCCGGAGAAAACACTCGCAGATCCCACAGTTTTATGCTTTGATCCTTGGAGTTGGAAATGATGTAACGTCCATCATTGCGGGAGTCAATGTAAGTGATGCCGTCAAAGTGCCCCACAAGAACGCCTGCCGATTCTGGATTCACCTCATTCAGGCAACGACGATCCCACACCTACATGAAAACATGATAACAGAAATACTTTCCACATCTCATTGTCTCAAAATTACCTTGATTAATCCATTATCTGTGCCACTGAAGAATATGTTCGACGTTTCGTCCAGAAATCCAACTGCATTCACATCGTGTTTCTCCTGGGCTACGGGAACCATCAGAACACGCCTGTTGGCATTCAGATCGTATGCATACAAACAACCATCATTTGCTCCTGCTAAAATCTGTTTACCGCAGTTTGAGTATGCGACGGTAAATACGCCGAATTTCGGACACTGCGGCCTTAGGAAAAGACAGTGTATGTCATCCGATTCCATGTTGCGCAACCGGGAGACGAATACTGAAAATATGAAACATGACTACCTCCATGAAATCTTCTAGTTCATAAGGTAAACTTTACGTACACGCATCAGCCCATGTAGAGTAAACGAAATACTCTCCATCAGGACTGAAATCGATGTCCAACACGGACCAGGAGACATTCTTCGCCTCAATCTGGCTCACTAGCGGATACCGACTGGTGGTGGCGTCGAACACGCGAATTCGACTGTCCTGGCTGGCACTGATGAACTGTGAACCATCCCGTGAGAACCGTCCGCAAAATACTTTGGAGTTGCAGTTGTAGACGTGTTTCTCCGTTCGATTCGGCAAGAAGAGGTTATTGACTTTGCATTTGTCGCTTTGAACGAATGGACCCCCTTTGGATCCCAATCCACTTTCACGCTTGGCAAGCATGTCGAGCAAGGAGAACTTCTTTGTGGGACTACTGGCATCTGCATCATAGCCGGACGCTTGTTTGATGCTCTGATAGATTGCACTTTTCTAGGGGTTGTACAAGAAAAGAAAATATTTAATCAATATAGATATTGGCGAATGGCTTTTATTACTATTAAATATTAAATTATGGGGTTGAAGGATCCTCAAACTCGTTTCTATCAGTTGCTTCAAGAAAATCCATGTTTCGTCAAGTGAGTGGAGATTTATTAACAAAGAACAATTGGTGAGCATGTCGTCCATATGTATTCTTGAGGATTCAACTTAGTAATTATCGAAAAACAATTAGCATACTATTGATGTTGTTTATGGTTTCGATAATGTTAGGCTGTATGGAACATCTTTTGTTCTATCAATCTCAAAACAACTAAAAACCTCCTGGGAAGTAAAGGGTTAGAACCGACATTATCAGCAATAATTTATTTGCCAAGAACGCTCGACTTTGCGAATATCGGCAAGAAAAATCGCTAAGTTACCCTTATTACCGATGTCACTTCACGGTGAAGTGATTCCCATTTGATTTACACGCCAATCACTTCACCGTGAATGATAAGTGGTCACTTCACTTCGTTTTCACCGTGAAGTGACACTCGTAATAAGGGCCAGTGTGTAGGTTTGAACAATGTAACTCCTAAAATCCCAGACAAATAAGCTATTCTATTCTATTCTCGTTAGTAAGCGAATGCACTGAGATCGGCGTAGGAGTAAGTGGGTCAAGATGGCAATATGAGGCTATACGGCTACCCTGGTCTATGAACATGAACCAGCTTAACAAAAATATTACTAGAAAAATGGATGATTAATAACAATGCAAAGCGCTAACAATCCCACAGGGCACCTCAGTAACACACGTAATGCCATCTTGTCCTACAATCCCCCTAAGCTAGGTTCTGTAGAGCAGTTTGCGTTCGTCCCTCTATACGTACCTTCAATTGGTCCAGGTTTGCTCGCTTTCTGATATCTGGCAGGGACATCGAAGGGCGATCATTGTTAAGAATTTGTATCTCGCCGCTGGGCATCGTAATCGTAATTGCAAACAAAAAATGCAACGTCATATGATTGGTCAAATAAAAACAATACTTCAGTGTCAACATTTCATTAGGGCGAAACTAATTCTGTAAACAATTCCTTCAACCGCCGATTTCTCGTAAATAGCTCAATCCTGCAAATTAACGATGCCTGCAAATTAACGATGCCAGCTGGTAGAGGAAACATTCCTCTACCTGATGATGTCCTTACGTTGCATGAGTGAGCTTTTATTCATGAGAAATCAAAAGCCATTGTTTTCAAATCAATTTCGCCTTTTTGAAAGGTTTGCACCAACTTTATAATAACATGCGATTCATTCAACTTTACCTGCTGATTAGTTGCCGCAATATCGAAACAAGATGGTTTTCGTGGGTGGCTTCTTCCCCTTCCAGCGGGTCGTCGAACAGATCGTCTTCCTCGATGATATCAACATCTTCCTCAAATTCGACGTCGCTCATATTCGCTAGGGCACGACTCCGAAGGACAATATTTCCCATAAAACGACCGCAGATCCCTTGACTAGGGAAAAGAAACAAAACAATAAACACAGAACTGTTGCTTGTTCTTTTACTCCAGTTCCGAGTTGTTTCTTCTATTATTGACGAAAATTTTCTCCAAGGATGCTTCTACTAAAAGAACGGAACAGGGAAAAAATGGAAATTATCGCGTTTAAAATGTCTAGGCTTTTCAAGATCACTCGATTTGATCAGCTTCTGGAAGTGCTATCCTTGTTCCGCTACCGCAGAAATCAATAGAATCACTGCTTGCTATGCTGTTCACGCAGTCTTCTTGTTTTCTACGCAACTAGGAAATTTCGTTGTTGATTTTGATTGCGGCTGTTCACCACATTATCATACGAGTCTGTTTACTTCTACAAATTTTCCTGAAGCTTTACTAACCACAGTTTAAAATCGAAATATTTTTCACGTATGAGATAACGGTTTTTCCCAGATTTTCCCAATTATATTCTAACGAGATGATAAAAATGAAGGAAAAGAAAAACAACAATGACGAAATTGGCCTAGCCTGACAGATATGGAGGAGGAACTGATGAGCAAAACATGCTTGGTTCGGTTTCAGAAATGTCCCTTAACTATCATCGCTTCGTACGCAGCCAATGGGCAATCAGTATACACTCAAAAGCATACTAAACAAAGAAAGATTAAAATTTAATCAACAGCAATACACGTTAAAATTTAATATATTGAATATTATTTTTTATTATTTTATTATAACATTACAATTTCTATTCGGGGAGCTAATCGATGCACCCCTCGAAACATAGGAAAATCCACGAACCCTTCATTTTATCTGTCAAATTTTCATAGCGAATCAAAACAAACATAGTGTAGTACTGGAATTTATACTAGAATGGTTACGTTAGTCGATTTGCTTGGGACCAATAGGCTAGTCAAGTAGTGAGCCAATTTCTCGATTGTTTATGTTTTTTTGTGCTGTTTCAGACTTGAAAAAGTTGTGGAATCTTGCGCGATCAGATCATATTTGAAAATGGCATGTTTTGCATCATTTCGTGGCAAAATTTTATCCCTTTATAAGGTTCCCAACAAACAATTGCCTATTGAAGAAACGACTTCTTGACGATTTTATTCCACTTCATGCTTAATAATACTTGTACTATTTTTAATAATAACTTCTGTTCAGGCTTTGTTCACACAAATCTGGAGAATTTATTCAACCACAACATCGAAATATTTGGTGTTGAAATAAGGTATGTCGAGTAGCTTTTATTCGACTTACAAAAATTGTAACAGAGCTTATTCGATCAAATTTTTGATTATTCAGCGTTTATTAGACCATCTGCACTTCCTTAAACAGCGATGGTATAAAGGTGTGTATAGACGCTTGATTTTCATGTGAAATAATCTTTAATTATTACATCATTAGACATTTATTAAACGATTATTCAACTACGGGATAATTAATCCGAAAATAAGAACGGCACGAGCAGGGGCAGGGTTGTTTTCGTTAGTGATTGTTGTGTCATTATTTCTGTCGAATTTATTACATACATACATACATACAAACACATGCCGTTAAATGGGATTCGAACCATGACCTTCCGATCACCAGCCGCTTGCCTTGCCATCTGAGCTATCCTAGAATACATCATTTCAGCAGCTAAATAAGCAATAAAAGCTTGAATCTGAAAACCTATCAGCACTTCCAGCCGTAGCTCTAGCTAATTCAAGGAGATGTGAGAATGATTAATTCATTCATATGTTTAACATTAGACCAACGTTACCTCTCCATCTATCTAATTTCGATGGAAAGGATGCTATTCTTTTCAATAGATCTATGAATTGGTTGTCGTGAGTGATACGATTTATGATTACGATTTAAATTAATTACGAGTAGAACATAAATAAAAAAAGGGTTGAGGCTGGGACTGAACTCACGACCTTCTACTTGGAAAGCGGAAACGGTAACCACTATGCTACCAATTTCGTTTTGTTGTTAGCCTGAATCACTGTTGTGGAATAATGAATAAATACGCCGTTTGTAAAGCATTTACAAAGCACGCAATTAAAACATGGACGCATAGTGGTATAAGAGCTATTATGCTGACTGTATTCACCTTTATTCAGCAATATTATTAAGCAATGCAATGAAATCTAGTAATGGAGCTAGAAAACAATTATTAGACGTATAATAAAGCATGTTATTAAATCAATTGAAACAGTCGGATTAAAGCGTCAATGTATGTGCAAATTACACTTATTCAGTATGTTATTAGATCAAACTTCTGGTGTTGAATCAGGAAGACAGTCATCGTTTGTATAGATTTTAATAAGTATATTAATCAAATCAGAGCAATCAGCGAAATAAAGGCGCATCATCGATCTCAATGAGGTTTTCTGAGCACATAATTTGACAACCCGTTTTATTCAGCATTGTACACTGTTATAAAGCATTTATTCAATCTATATGCTTATTTGTGACTCTGAATTGTTTTTGGGCAGTGATGTGGAATAATGAATCTAATACGTCGTTTATAAAGCATTTACAAAGCATTCAACTAAAACATGGACGCATAGTGGTATAAGAGCTATTTTGCTGACTGTATTCACCTTTATACAGCAATATTGTAAAGCAATGCAATGAAATCTAATAATGGAGCTAGAAAACATTTATAAGACGTCTAATAAAGCATTTTATTAAAGCAATTGAAAACAGTCGAATTAAAGCGACAATGTATGTGAAAATTACACTTATTCAGTTTGTTATTAGATCAAACTTCTGGTTCTGAATCAGGAAGACAGTCAACGTTTATAAAGCTTTTAATAAGTAAATTAATCATATCAGAGCAAACGGCGGAATAAAGGCGCATCTATAGATGTCAATGAGCTTTTTTCAGCACATAATTCGACATCTTGTTTTATTCAGCATTGTACACTGTTATGCAGCATTTATTCAATGTGTATGCTTATTTGCGACTGTGAATTGTTTGTTGGGTTATACTTCCAGAAAACTTCCGTAACACAACGGTTTTCTGCAGATACCTATGACAAACTTACCGAGTACTACTTCTGTCCTTCTTTAATCTATTACATCAATTGTGGTACTAGTTTAAAATTACACTTCAGTAAACTACTCCCGGTTTGATACCCATGGCCAGCATCATTTTACTAATGTTGCTAAGTTTTACATCTAGTACCTCAATTGATGTACTAGCATAAAGGAGTGTAACGCTAGAAAAACCATGTGTCGTTAGTTTATTTTTATAATTTGTGTGTGTAGCAAGAGTAAGGTTTCTTTGCCTTGTAATTCAATGTTTATCACAAACCGTTTACCTCATAACACGGAGAACAAATTATAGCAGACGCAATTATTTTTCCGGTCAAAATAACTATATTGTTCAATTGTTTTAGAGATAACCCGAAACTATAGTTGATTTGACTATATATAGAGGGCAACAACTATAGTCCATAGTTGGCTCCTCGGTTGGCTCAACTATATTTTTCAATAGATGAACAAACGTCAATCTTCAAAATACAACTATGCTTTAGTTGATTCAAGAAAACTATTGTTAGAAAAGCAAAATTTTACAATGTTTATTAAACGACCTGCTCTTCATTATCGACATATTAAGGAAGTTTGTTTTGCTTCTTTATCGATCTCAAAAACACAACTGCAAAATCATAAAAAAGTGAACAAGAACATTCAACTTAGATTTGAACCGTGTTTTATCTGCGTGAGAACCAGCTATCTTATCGCCTGCTCTACGCATCACAAGTTAAAAGTATGTGGATTTATGATGATCATTTGAAACCAAATTATATAAATAAATTACATTTGACGGTTGTTATAATTGATCAAAGTTATAGTTGAATTGAGTATAAGATGAACAATTGAATCTGCTAGGTAGATATGATTGAGTTGACGGTCAAATTAATGTTGGAGTAAGTATAGGTTTCTTTCAAACAACAATATTTTTCCATGTGAAAGTAACTTTTAGGATTGTTATCTTAACTTAACGAATTTGTTCTCCGTGGAAGTATTTCACTGTTCAGGTAAATACTGTAAATTTTGAAAATTAGCGAGTGCCATTTGGTTTTAATACTCTCTCATACACACGCACATACACATACACACACACACACACACACACACACACACACACACACACACACACACACACACACACAAACAGACACACATGCACACACACACACACACGCACACATACACACACACGCACACACATACACACACACACACACACACACACATATACACACACACACACACACACACTCACACACACTCACACACATACACACACACACACACACACACACACACACACACACACACACACACACACACATACACACACACACACACACACACACACACACACACACACACACACATACACATACACACACACACACACACACACACACACACACACACACACACACACACACACACACACACACACACATACACATACACACACACACACACACATACACAGGGCTACAAATGGTGAGTTGACAACCTAGCTCTGGTTCTCACAAGTTCCTACCTCACGCCTCCCCGTGGTGTAGCCTGGGCAATGTTGTCCTTCTGACAATAGCAAAGTGAGGGGGTGCGACGCGAACACTGGCGCGGTAACCATAACACGGCGATAGAGGAAATGCTTCGTCAACCCGCAGGAGTGCCAACCGGCACATTAGGATCGACGCCAGTAAGATCCTTATTACGGCATACTGGATACGGCATGGAACTATGGACACGACACGGTACAATGGATTGGATATCACGCTACAGGGCTGACAGTCGTGCTATTCTGCTCCCTAAGTAAAGAAGGGTGACACCTTCTTGAAATGGCGAGTGGGCTAATAGTGCGGCCTTGGCAGGCCTCCGGATACGTTCAAAACTCGTCACCAATTGGTGATTGGTGAGTAGTAGGCTCAGATGTAACATTCCTGACTTACGCCGATCTGGCTCTGAACACGGCCCCCATGAAGGACCGTGTCAACCCTAGCATGGCCTCCCTGCTTGCATAGATAACCATGGGATCACGATAGGAGACTACATACAACGAGTGGAGATAGCGGCCCGAAGGGGGGACCCATCAGAATGGATAAAATTGGAGAAAAAAATAAAAATGAAGAAAATGAAAAAACCAAAAAAAATATGAAGAACGACGGCAATACGCCAGACAGTGAAAACGGAGGAGCAAACGTGTTCGCAAGGAGTGGGATATTGCAGAGATCACCAGTGTCGAACCTGGGGGTCACTGCGAGTTCCAGCAGCAGCAGTAAGTTTCAAGAAGAGCAGCCAGGCGTTGGGCTAAGCCAGATATTCACACCAATATCCAGTAGTAGCAAATCCCAAGAACTGCAGCTCGGGAGAACCAAAATGACGGAGGTCAGGAGGAAGATCGATGATCTCTATGTGTTCGTGAAGGATAAAAACAACGTACACAAAGAGATCAAGCAACTTGTGACCGGTATCAAATCCGGCATAACAGTGGCAGATCGGGAATGTCAAGAGTG